TCTCAGAGGATCCAGGATGTAAGGTGAGTGAAAGTCCCACACAGGCACCCCGGGCCTCAGAGGAGGGGAGGTCCCCCCCCTCCGGGCACAGCATTCCTGGAGGGGAGGAGCCCAGTGTATCCCTTGGACAAAGGCTCTAAGAGAAGGCTCCTGTGTTAGAGGAACTAGCCTCCCCAGTAACTTTAGTTGAATCACTGCTTTTGCTTCTGCCATTGTCTGTTCAAAGGAAAGGTCACTCTGTAAACTTCCTCCAGCCTCCACTGCCCTCCCTGACGAGCACCTGGCAGTGGGAGAGCAGGGAACAGGCCTAGGGGGCCGACTCCTTGCTCCTGGTCACCCCTGTGTGGTGTCTGGTTGTCGGGTCCTCACTGGTGGACACTACAGGGTCCAGCACAGAGGCCCGGCCTTCCCCATCTGCTTCCCACCTCCCCACATCGTGGGTTCTGCAAACTCCCTGTGATCCAGTCACCTCAAACTTCTCCTGAGAGACAAGTCCTGGTCTGGAGAAGAGACCGTCACCTCGCTAAGCTCTCCAGGACCTCTGCTCTCCACAACCAAGCCCTTCTCGTGCTTTCCAGCCCTCTTTCCAATTCTCTTTCCCTCAGGTCAGGGAGGGCAAAAAGGACCGCCTTGTTCTTCTGGTTGTCTTGTTTACTTTCATTATCATCCTGGTTGGGTCTCCACTGGGGACTCTTGTTCTTTGTGGGGTGGGGGTGGGGGTGGGGGTTAATTAGAATCAAATTTGATTGTTTCAATGGAGTCCTTCACAGACCACCCAATTACCTAGGTGTTACTACCAGTGACAAATAATTCTGGTACTAATTATCCGTGATGTTCATTAGACTAAGAAAGAGTTTGACAGCCCTTCACTGAGTTCTCTCTCTCTCTTGCTGCAGCTTTGGTGAGGAGCCTGCCTGGATTCTCTCTCTCTCAGTGCTTGGTCTAAGAAAACTTTCTGCAACGCTGAGGTGTTCTATATGTGGGCTCTCATGCAGCCACCAGTCACCTGCAACTGAAATGTGGCTAGTGGGTGTGAGAAACTAAACTTTAAATTCTATTTAATTGTAATTAAACTTGAGTGGCCACATATTCTACAACACAGCTACATTTTATGCATCTTCTAAATTCCAATTTATTTCTTCTTTCTATAGAGAAGACCTCATGACCTGTGGAGGCCAGGGGCAGCCAGTACATTGCACAAAGGCTCAGGTGAAGTGAATTTCCATCGCTGTTAGGAAAATTCTGGTGGCTTCATCTCTGCCTCTAGATCCGACATTGGAGCTTTTCAGGACAAGCCATGGCCTCATCCCCAGCCACCAAGATGAGGGAGGAAGCCACCTGCCCCATCTGCCTGCATCTGATGACTGAGCCGGTGAGCATCAACTGTGGACACAGCTACTGCCACTCGTGTATAGTGAGGTTTCTTCAGAATCTCTGCCAGACACAACCACGGCTGGAGACGTTCTCCTGTCCCCAGTGTCGGATGCCATTTGGAATGTCGAGCCTCCGACCCAATAAGCAGCTGGGAAGCCTCATTGAAGCTATCAAGGAGATGGACTGTGAAATGTCATGTAAGGATCATGGAGAGAAGCTCCATCTGTTCTGCGAAGACGAGGGCCAGCTCATCTGCTGGCGCTGTGAGCGGGGACCGCAGCACAAAGGGCACGTCACAGCTCTTGTTGAAGATGCATGCCAAGGCTACAAGGTGAGTAGTGGGCCAGGGGGCTTTGGCAGGTACTGGGTCCCATGTTGCCTCCCCCCGTGAGACCTGAGACTCTTTAGCCTGAAACCCAAGATTAGGATCCTGAAATATAGCTTTCATTATGTCCTTCTTCTGGAAAGTGGTGTATGATGGGTCCTCACTGAACCAAGTCCTGACAGTCTCTCTTGACTTTCAGCGAGATGGTCAGACTCTTGTTCCTATCCACTCTTGCTCTGATGAACCTCTCCTCACTCTAGAATGCCACATGCTCCAGTGCACATCTGCGTGCTTTTTTCACTCATGCTGTGTGTGTAATTTGAGGAAGCACCATGTGAAAGACCATGGGAGAAAGTCTGAAAACACAGGGGACAAAGACACGCTGCCTTCTAGGTATCCTACAGTCTAGTAGGGAAGACAAGCCAGCAAAAGAATTGCCCGGAGTGCCCTGGTTTGGATGGTGGAGAGGGACACCAAGGGCTGGGGAGTAATAACTGAGGAATCTTCCCAAAGGTGACTCTTGAGGAACACATTACAATGAACCATATGTACATGGGAAGGTATAGCTCAGGGGTAGAGTGCATGCCAAGATCCTGGGTTCAATCCCCAATACCTCCATTAATAAATAAATAAAAAAACAAACCTTATTACCACACTCCCCCCAAATGAGCCATATATAGCAGTATGGAGAAGAGAGAGGGCACTCTAGACAGAGGGGCCCAGGTGTGCAGAGGCACAGCCACGGGAGCTTACCTGGCCCACTGTGACCAGGCCAGGGGGTATGTCCAGGGAAGGTGGGTGATGTCATGGGAAATGGATTCTGAACCCAGAAGCTTGATGTCAGCTCAGAGTCTAAATCCTAGCCCAGAGAAGTACTGGCCACTGGGGAATTTTCATTTGCAGAGTGAAGGATCTGGTTGACACTGGAAAGAGCATTCTGGTACTGCTATAATGAAAGGAATATCAAGGAGTAAAATTCAGATTATTCCTCTAAGAAGGGGGAGAGGGAGCAGTTATAAGCCAGATTCAGGAAGGGGAGTGAGTGAAAGGATTTGGAAATGGTTGGTTATGGAGGATGAAGAGGAGGGAGAGGTTTGGGATAACTCCTAGGGCTCACTCAAGTGTGAAAGAAGGTGATGTTGGCTGTGGTGGAACGAAGGGGTGAGCATAGCCCTACTGCCTTATTCTTTCTCTGCCTTGCCCAGATTTGAGAAAATCGTTGTCCCCAGTGTGGGCTCCTCATTGCCTCCCCCACGAGGAGGAGGAGGGTCTTCTATTAAGGTTCTGGGTTCTCCATCAGGACATGTCAACACTGATCACCACTCAGAATGCAGCAGCTCTTCCTTAAACTCCATGGAGCAGCTAATAACTATAAGGGGGATAGTCCCATTGGAATTATTTTCCCACCAAGTAGTAAGCAAAGGAGCAGCATTGGGTGGTGGTTCTAAGCCTCAGGAGTCAGTCTGCTTAGTTTGAAATCTTAGTCCTGCTACTTACTAGATGGGTAACCCTAAGCAAGTTTCAATAAATATGTCTTCAGGCCTTGGATTCCCCAACCGTCAATGGGGATAATAGTCGTTTCCTGCCTCCCCAGCACACAGGCCCGGAAGGTTGTTATCAGCTTTAAGGACATTAATACATGTGAAGCTTAGAATAGCACTTGGCACATAGCAAGGGCAGCACAGTCCTTTGCTAACAGTTCCACAGAGCGCTTTATTGAGGGCACTCGAGAATTAATGACAGTATACTTACTGGGTTTAGGACAGGAGCCAATTCTTTTAATATTGACCACAGCTAGCAATTTGGTTCAGCTTAAACTTGCTTTCCATGAAAATGTGAGAAACTATTTTGAAAAATAACCTAAAAGCTCGATATGGATACTAAGTCATTTTTAAATGGCTTCAAAAGATATCAGAGATCCCTTCCTCCATTAATTGTTTCTAGTAACTTCAGCTGGCATCTAGGTCTTTCCTTCCTGACTCACTATAATACATACTTAGGTCCCTGTGTGCCAAACACTCTGGCATTGGTTATGTTTGGTTCAGCACATTATTTTAGAAAGTCTTTTTGGATGATTATTGTTTAGCATGCAATATTTCCCTGACTGTTAGTGGTAGAGAGAGCACAGCCTCTGGGTCAGCAGATGAGCTGGGGTCACAGCTCAGCCACCTACCAGGTATAGCATCTTGGGCAAGTTATTTACCCCCTTCCTAAGCCTCAGCTTCTGTAGCATAGAAATGATGTTAAAAATCCTAACTGTTCAGGGTTCCCAAGGGGATCAGGTATGCTGCTGCACATGAAGCCTGAAACATACTTCCTGGCAGGGTCAGGACTCAATACATATTCAGTGTTATTCTAATAGTCTTGGAGGGCTGGCTTGCCCCTTAGGTGCCCAGTGAAGAGTTGTTGAGTTGAAAAGGCTTTATTCACCCTATTTTTCCTTTAGGAACAGCTCCAGAAAGCTGTGACAAAATTGAAGCAACTAGAAGAAGAATGTATGAACCTGAAGGTGTTCACGGCAAACCGAATAACAGAATGGAATGTAAGAGTTTGGGTTTATTGATCTCAAGCTGTTGTCCTTCCTAGAGTTTAGGCATAGGGGATTATTGGGCAACGCATAATGAACGGCTTATTCTCATCCAACCAGGCCAAATAGATAAAACCCAAAGAAGAAGCCATTAGTTGTTTTTATGTCCCTCGTTGTCTACATCTATGAGAATTTATCTCCAACCCTTTCAACTTTTCAATAGTAATTGACTAGGATTCTAATACCTCAGTCAGTGGAAGCAAAATTGGTGTGCCTCTACATAGAGTCATTCTTGACTGGGTTTCAATTTTTAAATATCTCAAAATACCTTCCTGGTTTGAAGGCCTGTTGAGCCTTGTTGCTTTGGTACATGTAGCACAGGGCAGGGTGTAGCTCCCAGCCTTACAGGCTCAGAAACCAACCTTTGTGAGCACTAAGTAAACAGAATAGCTCCAGGTTGAGATAAATATTACTCAAGCTCATGAGGCTGATAAAGGAAATTGATTTGATTTATAAGAAGGATCAAAGTGCTCCAAGAACCTACACATTTACCACTGCAGATTCTAGGGTGTCTAAGACTATTTCCTTGGCTGACCAGCCTCCCATGATCAGAGATGCATTCCTTTACTGAAATATTTATGTAATCCATCATTTCACAGTCAAATCCTACAGGCTGGTAGATATTTACCTCTTTTAGAGGTCTCTTCCAACCTTCCAACCTCTCTGCCCCAATCCTTTGTGTACGGTTGTTAAACTTGAAATCTTAGAGGACAGTCTTACTTCCCTCATTTCTGGGATCTTGGGCAGTGGGGAAGATCTTGATTATAACTAAGATATAGGGAAACCCCATCAATGACCCTTCTGCTACATCACGGTCATTGAAACACTTCATGAATCGAGAAAGCACTAACGGAAACTGCAATTCTGATCTCCTAAAATGAAAGCTGAGTCCCACAAGATATATCATTTGGTTTCTGTCAGTCTTACACATAAGAATGAGTAAGTGCACCCTGGGTTGGTAGGTAAATATTTCACAGTTAACTATGACATAAAACCTGCTCCCCAGACCTCCCCCATGGACTCTCCTACTAGTCTGGTTACCTTAAATTCCAGTCTTGGTGATGTTCGTTACAAACTTTTGCTTCAAGAATTTTCCTCAGACCCAGAGATACCTTTTACACCCCACATAAAAACCCATTTTTATCTTTGTAACTGATAAAGTGTTTGACCTCAGCCCTGATTCCAGGGTTAAATTATCTACCACTCCCACCCCTCTCTCTTGCACCTTAGCTGAAGAAGGAAATTAGTCAGGTGACTATAGAGAATTGTGACAACCTCTGCCACATCTGAGTACCTGCCTCCCAGGCCTGGCTCTGCAGCAGGGAATTTGGAACATTCTTCCAGCTCAAATGACTCATGGGAAAGTAATGTTATGGTAGCTGCATGAACTTTATTTTGTGTATATACGTGCTAAAATATACGTAACAAAATCAACTGTTTAACTGTTTGTGAACAGTTCAGTGACATTAAGTACCTTCCCAGTGTCATGCAACCATCACCACTATCCACCTCCAGAAGTTTTTCATTATCCTGAACTGAAACTCTCTACTCATTTAATAATAACTCTCCATTCCCTCCTCCTCCCAACTCCAAGTAGCCACTATTCTACTTCCTGTCTCTATGAACTTGATTCTTCTGGGTAGCTCATAAAAGTGGCATCATAAGATATTTGTGTTTTTTTCTGGCTTATTTCACTTAGCATAATGTCTTCAAGATTCATCCATGTTGTAGTAGGTATCAGAATTTCATTCCTTTTTAAGACTGAATAGCATTCCATTGTATCTCTATACTACATTTTGTTTACCAATTCATCCATCAATGGACATTTGGTTTGTTTCTACCTTTTGAGAACTCTTTCTTGACTCTAGGAGAAAATAGAGATTCAGAGACAAAAAATCCAGTCTGACTTTAAGAATCTCCAGAGTTTTCTGCATGAGGAAGAGAAGTGTTATCTATGGAAACTGGAGAAAGAAAAAGAGCAGACTCTGAGGAGACTGAGAGACAATGAGGCCAACCTTGAACAAAAGAGCCATGAACTCAAGAACCACATCCTGGAACTAGAGAACAAAAGTCAGGGCTCAGCCCAGAAATTGCTGCAGGTAAGGCTATGCACTTGGAGAACAGAAAGAAGGTATTTGTTCCTGAACTTTTAGGAGGATGATGGTGAGGAAACGTGGGAAGACTGGCAAGGCCTGCCTGTTTCACTCAAGAGTGGCACATTAGTGTAGGGAATTTAAAGTAATGTTTCTTTTAGAGACACACCAATGTCTGCAAGGTGGCCTCTACTAATCTGAAGGGTGTCTTTTGGTGAATCAGAAAAATATTCCCCCACTGGGAGGATACAGTAGGTTCCTTGGCCAAAGGGGACCATGGGATAACTTTCACTACCATTTGCCTGTGTCCCATGTTCATGGAACCCTGTCAAACTGTCTTCTGAAATACTTCTCCAGATGACTGATGGGTGATAAAATAAGGTAGCCAAAATAGGTGATAACCTTCTCCCAATTTGACTAAGCCCTCCAAAGCTCTAAGATGGCCTTCTTTCAGCCGTGTGAAGGATACAGCCCAATAAGACAATCTATGCCTGGAGCTGTTGATTCTAGTTCCCACTAACAGAACTGGAGGTTACACTGTAAGGTTGTAACATGACTGCTCCAACACAGTATGGTACGGCTGCCACCAGCTTCATGGCCCAGTGTCAGGGGCTATGCATGGATTCACCACTAAGGACCTTTGTGCTAAGTGATCTTTAACGTGGGCTCACACTGAAGGAAATCAAGTCACTGAAAACAAGTCCTCCCAGAGGGAGCATGGCCAAAGCTCCTGGCCCTCATCCCCAAGCAGACCACAGGCAGGTGTGATTGCAGACGCTGCAGCTCCCTACAGATCTCAGCAAGGAAAATAATGGATAAACATCCTGATAGGCTGACTATCCCAGGGAGCTGGGATGGAAATCATTCTGTCTGGGAATCCATCAATATCCAAGGCCAGAGTCACTCTCTTTACTTCTTTCAAAGGAACGTTTAGAGAGAACAGCCTCACATGGCAAGCTCCATGAAATACTGATGTTCCCACATTTACCTTTTGTCTTTGTTTCTCCATAGAATGTGAAAGACACTTTGAGCAGGTGAGTCCTATACAAATGCAGGAGGGAAGGGGTGTGGGTAGCTAGAACTGAATGGAAATTACCACTGAAGAAGTCTTTGACCTCTGCTTATTCTAGGAGTTGGGCTGTGAAGGTGGAAACACCAGAGATTCCCTCTTTAAACCTTCGAACTGTATGCAGTGTTTCTGAGCTTTACTTTGATGTGAAGAAAATGTTAAGGAACTATCAAGGTATGTGAAGAATCCCTAAATACTATGGATAGAAGGGAACTTAAGTGGTAAACAAGCTCATCCCTGGGCAAGCCCACAGCCGGAGAGGTCATTCAGATATTTTCAGTGGAGCTGTCACCCTCTCCCTTCTTAATTTGCTCCCGTGCTTAAACAGGGACATAGCATATTGATTATCCATGCAGACCCTTCAAATTCCTGCTTTCTCATTTATTGGCAGTGTCATTTCAGGCAAACAACCTCCTCAGTTTCCCCAGCTGATAAATGAAAATATTAACAATTCCCACTTCACTGGGTTGTCATGAAAGTTAAGTACATCAACATACGTAAAGTGCTTTAGCACAGTGTCTGGAACATATTGTTTATTGTTAATATTTTGGTCAATTCTCAGAGCAATGCAAGAAAGTTAAGTGAATATTCTGGGCTGTGGTTCAAATGTTTTTAGGGCCTTGACCCAGGTGACACAGATAGTAAATATTAGAACCACGATTAAAGCCAAATTTTATCAGTCCCGAAGTCTGAGCTTCCTGCTTCCTTGATTCTCTTAATCTGTGCTTGCTACAGTTGCATAATCTCTTATCCACAACTACAAAATTTGCAAAGTTCTGAAAACTAAGGATTTTTAAAAAATTTGTTTTGCTGCAAAATTGGACCTAACCTAAAATTATTTGGTGACTGTATTAATTATCTATTGCTGCCAACAAATTTAGTGGCTTAAAACAACACATGTATATTATCACACAGGTTTTTGTGGGTCAGAAATCTGGGCACAGCTTAGTTGGGTCCTTTGCTTAGGGTCTCACAAAACTGCAAGTAAGGTGTTGGCCTGGCTGTGTTCTCATCTGGAGGCTAGACTGGGGCAGAATTCTCTTTCAAGCTCACTCAGATTCTTGGCAGAATTTCTTTCTTTATGGTTATGGGACTTAGGGCCCTGAGCTTCTAGAAGCCAACCCTCAGCTGCTCGCACATGGGCCTCTCAACATGGTCAATTATTTCTTCAAATGAGTTTAGGAGAGAGTCTCTAGAGAAAGTCTTCCAGAAAGATAGAGACTTATAGAATAAAATATAATCACAGGAGTCACATCTCATCATTTTTACCATATTCTGTTGGCCAGGAGCAATTCATAGGTCCTGCCCACACTCAAAGGGAAGGAACTGCATAAGGGTATGAACACCAACAGGCAAGATCATGGAAGGATCCCCTTATGTCTGCGTGACATCATGGCCAAACCTGAGCTGCACTGATATGAGACTATTTAAAGTCTTTATTTATCCCAATTAGTTTGAATATGTGTTTTACTGCAGAAATATTGATGCATTTGATTACAAGAGACCATTAGACCCTGCTGGGGGTGGAAATGTAGATTATGTTTGCCTTTATAACATCAAAAATATTCTGAATTTCAAAACCTATTTGTCCCAGGGGTTTCAGATAAGGATTATGGACCTGTATTCAGTTCTCCCTCAAGCTAATAAGAATAAACAACAACACCACCAACTACTGAAAAATAGCAAGTCTGTATTTGACCCTATACAGATGCCAGGGAGGGCTTTAAGTCATGTCCAGATTTCAGTGAGTTGATTGGTCTACTTTTGTCTTTTATAGAAGGCATGACAACATGGTTCAAGTCAGTCTGTTTCTTAAATGGGCGTTTGATCTTCTTTTTGTTTCTAACCTAATTGTTTTGAGGTCAGAGAACATGGTCTATGTGATATAGATTCATTGAAACTTGTTCAGACTTACTTTCTGACTAATCTTTACTCAATCAGTACATATTCTATCTATACAGAGGAAAGTGCATGTTCTCTATAAATTGCTGGGCTTTATATATATCTAATAGACTGAGCATGCTGGGTTATTCGTCTTCCATAGCTTCATATTTTTTTTTGTCAGCCTGATCTATCAATTATGGAAAAAAGAATGTTAAAATGTCTCGTGATGAGAGTTGTGAATTTCTCCTTGTAATTCTGTAATTTTTGGTTTGTATATTTTGATGTTATATTATTAGTACATTCATGTTTAGAATTGTGATTTTTTCTAGTGAATTGAACTTTTTTCTGTTGCATCCAACAGATGACCCATTTCATCTTAATAATACTTTGACTTAATATCTTTTGATATAATTATGACTACAACAGCTATATAACTATATTATCCATCCTTTAACTTTCAAACTTTCCATGTCTTTTTGTTACATGTGTCACTTACAAGCAATATGTAGATGGAATTTTAAGAATCTGATTGACATTTTTCTCTTTCAAATGGTTTAACCAACTTGCCAACATTTTAATTTCTTAGCTTGGGCTTTCCTGGCTCATTCAGGAAATATAAATTGAAGCCCCAGATTTTTGTGAGTCAGGCTCATGATAAGGACTCACTGAAGAGAATTTAATAAAGGGATCATTTACAAAGATGAGGATTTGGGTAATCAACGAGGAAAAGTGCTTGCAGACATAGTAAACAATCTATGGTTACTGTGGGAAGGTGGGTGGGAAGGGATATATCTGGGAGTTTGAGATTTGCAAAGGTTAACAACTATATATAAAAATAGATTAAAAAACAAATTTCTGTGTAGCACAGGAAACTGTATTCAATATCTTGTGGTAATCTTTAATGAAGAAGAGTATGTAAACAAATATATATATATACACGCATGACTAGGACATTATGCTATGCACCAGAAATTGACACATTGTTACTGACTATACTTCTATAAGAAGGAAAAGAAGGGGAGAGGAGGGGAAGGGAT